TTATGGGGCCTTCTGGCAGATATTAATTTGATGATTTGATTCACGACTTAAAACCAAAATAAATAAAATAGTTTCATTTGTTTTGTTTTCACTTTTGGGTGTTGCAGGAATATAGCCAGCTACCTACAACCTACCCATCTGTCACACATGATTTCCCCCAATTCTAGACCTTAATAAGTCCTATATGTGAATCACCTTTTGTTTTTGGATGAACCGACCACTAGTGAAAATTCTAATAGCATGCTTATAGCTAAGTTGCCACCTGGAATCAAATAAACCTCATTTCATTTGATTGCACACCACACCACTAGATTTCTTTGAATTGCATTTCAAGATTCCAATGCATTGCCATCACTCATCAACACCAAGGACCTGTAAAGCTGCAACTTCTAACTGGGTTTTGGGGCCCCCCATAACTAGCAATTTGTATTCCACATTGAAAGCAAAGGTTCAGTGGTTCACTTATCACTCTCTCTTCTATAGTTTATACCTAGCTCAATAATTGAGGTGGCTATCTCTACACCAAAACTTCTAGGTAATGGTGGCTTCTTTTGCCATAGATATGTTATTATCAAGTTATTGACTTCTAACTACCTGTTTATTTTGTTTTATTTCTAAGTAGCTCCTGCAGTAGATCAAAATAATAACAATGAAGATTTCTATGTTAGTTATGAGTGGCTTGCACCTTAGTTCAAGGATGATGATCTCTCAGAGCATTTGAGAGTTTGGTGTTAGTTATGTTATGTACGTGTTAGTTATTAAGGTACAAGATGAGGAGGCGAGAAGAGGGAGAGAGTTTGGAGACTACAATGTATAGTACACGTGGATTAATTAGAATAAATTTTAATATTTTGTTATTAAAACATTTAAATAATATTTTAAATTTTTATTATTTAAATAAATTTGTCATTGAAATTTTTTATTCATAAAATTATAACTTATATTGTTATTAAATAATTTCATTGTGAACTTCATAAAAATCTAAAATTATTAATAATCTAAACACTATTAAATCCATTATATCTGTTTCTTTTTTTAATAAATATTTTAAAGTTATCACATAATTTTGCTATAATATTTAAACAATTATTAAAATCTTTAATTCAAACTTTCTTTAGATAGATATAGATAAGTTTTTTTAAGTAAAATAAAAAAATAATTATTAATTATTGTTATTGATAAAAATAGTTTTATTAATATAATAAAACTAATATAAATTTAAAACTAATATAAATTTAGACTTAATATAAAACTAATACAAAATTATCAAATAATTATTAGTTTTATAATTAAATTTTATTAATTCAAAACCAACTTAGGTTTCATTGGAAAATAAAATTTTATATAGTTATTTAAATTTCAGAAGGAATTTAAATTTAAGAAAAACTTAATATACTTAAATAAATCAACTTTTACTATAATTAATAAAAATATTAATTTTAATTATAGTTTAATTATTTTAATATCAATTTAAATTCCATTTAAAGATAATAAAAATATAAAGAACTCCTAGTGTTTTGACCTTAACAAAAATCTCTTTTATTGTTTTGAAAAAAGGTGCAAATATCTTCCTTTGTTAGCATTGCAAATAACAAATGTTAATATAATGCATTAATTTTACTTCACTTTAGCCTTTTTACCTTGATTTGTCCAAAAAGAGAAAGGAGAATTGTTCTTTGAGAGTTGTTTGGTAAGATAAAGTTGAAACTTTAAATTATGTATGATAGTGCATTAACAATGATAAGAGTATTTTGGTAATTTTAATGTCTTTTGAAAAGCCAAGGGAAAGGAGTTATTTGTACTTTTTTTGTCTCAAAACTATAGGATAGTCCTTTGTTAGGGTCAAAACTCAAAGGTGGTTTTTTAATAAAAAATATTTTTCAAAATAATTAATCAAAATTAGCAATAGAATACAAAAAATAATACAATTTTATCTAGAGAAACCAATTTCTCACGCCGGTGATGTTTAGCGAATGCAACACCGGAAAAGTTGAGATCAACACTCGAATGCGACGCTGGAATTTTCCCTATTTATAATCTCTAACCTAAAGAAAATCTTGATGTAGAATGTCCTGTAAAGTTAGGGCTTCTAGTTTTTTGATTGTGCGGAGGAAGGTAAGAGCTTCTGGTTTTCTGATTTTGGGCCGCGACAACAGAAGTAGGAGAGCAACGATGCTCATGCGGAGTTCCAACGGGATTTGGAGGAGTTGATGCGTGGTCACTTGTCGTTGGTTCCGTGGTGGAAGAGTAGAGATTCTGGTTTTCTGGTTTTTTTATTTTGGGCCGTGGAAACAGAAGTAGGAGAGAAAATGCTCGTGTGGAGTTCCAGCGGGGTTTAGAGGAGTTGATGCATGGTCATTTATCGTTGGTTGCGTGGTGGAAGAGCAGAGCTTCTGGTTTTCTGATTTTGGGCCGCGACAATAGAAGCAGGAGAGCAACAATGCTCGTGTGGAGTTCCAGTAGAGTTTGGAGGAGTTGATGTTGGATTTTAATCTCATAAGAGATTAAACCCAATGGGTTTGATTGGTCAATTACATGAGAAATTGCACCTACACACTTGATTGAAAAATTAGCTTTTCTCTTACAAAACCCAGTTTTGAACTTGTCCCACATTGGAAAATTATAAGCTTTGTTTTCAGTATTTTAATAGGAGCTGATTTACACTCCTTAGAAATAGTAGAGGAGAGTATGGGGGTTTGATATCGCGCAAGGGTGGCTTTGGTTTTGGTGCGATGCTGACCGTTGATCACCGTTGATGAGATCAATGGTCACAATTCGATCGAGTGTGATCATGAGGCACAATTCAAATTTAACAGTCATTAATTGTTAACTACTTTTTAAACAGTCACAATTATTGTGACTGTTTAAGGTACCTTCTTTGAACCAGCACCTACCTTTGCTTCATACCTCTTCATAAACTATTTAAGAAGCATGAATCAGACTTCAAAAACACACATTTTCGAAATCCACTTTCTCTCTTTCTCAGTTCGATCTGCTACAGTCTCACAAAAGGTTTTTCAGAGATTCTTCAACTTTGCTGGTTGCATATTCTCGCCCAAGGCTCTGTTGTATCCTGGGAACGGATTTGCCTGTAACCCAACAACCAACTCAGTGAAACTGAGTGGGGGCATATAATGTTCTAAAGACAATGTCTTCAGACGCGCCTCATAACTTCTCCTCTAAAGTTACAGTGACCTCATTTTCCCAACAGTTGATGTGTGGTCATTTCACTCATTTGTCGTTGGTTGCATGAAGGAAGAGCTTAGCTTCTAGTTTTCTGATTTTGGGCCGTAGCAACAGAAGCAAGAGAGCAACGATGTTCGTACGGAGTTCCAATAGGGTTTGGAGGAGTTGATGTGTGGTCATTTGCCATTGGTTGCATAGAGGAAGAGCAGGGCTTCTGGTTTTCTAGTTTTTTTATTTTGGGCCGTGGCAACAAAAGCAAGAGAGAAATGATGCTCGTGCGAAGTTCCAGTGGGGTTTGGAGGAGTTGGTGTGTGGTCATTTGTCGTTCCTTCAATCTACATGTGAAGTTGGTTGCAAGTGACACCAAAAATGAAGAGAAGTCAAATATGTTTGGAGTAGTGTTGTGGTCGAGGACTAGATCAGGCAAGTTGAACAGTGCTTCTTCGTTTGTGGATGGAAACATTGATGAGAATTCTCCTCGGTGTCATCTGACGTGATGGTGAGAATTGGGGAATGAGAAATTGGAAATTCTAGTTGGCTCTGCTTGCCCTGGTCTTCTGTTTCAACTTTGCAGCTTGCTGGTTGCTTGTCAAATGTGGTTGCGGCTGCTTTGGCAGCGGCAACATGGATGTCTTTGTGTGATAAGCTGGCCGGATGGGGAAGCTCATAAACCAGCTTAGGGAAATTGAGGAAAACTGAATTGCCTTTGATAGCAAGTGCAACAATATCATGGGCTCGGGCAGCCATCTCTGGAGTGGGGAATGTCCCAATCCAAATTCTTGATTTCTTTCTTGGTTCACGGATTTTCGACACCCATTTGCCCCAACTACTTATCCTCACTCCACGATAACTAGGGTGATTCCCGTTGTTACTACTAGTCTTCTGCCTCCTCCTAGTTTCATTTCCAATTTTCACTTCTTGGACTACTTCCTTCCTTCTGAGTTATGTTCAATTCCGTAAAGGAATTTAGACAAAAAAATGTCGTACTTTGAGCATATTCACAGTCTATCATTCATGACTGTTATTTCTAGAGGAGGGCTTCAGACTTTGGACTTTGGAGAAAGCAAGAGAGAATTTGTTCGCCGTTCACATGAACAATCCGATCTCTTTTCTGTCATTTCTTCAAAGAGAATGGGATGGAATGGGCTGCACTTATTACCTTTGTTTCGTCAATAAACAGTTGGGGTTGAGTGAAGCATGCTGGGAATGAAGAGCGGGAGTTAACGCCGAGTAAAACGGTTGGAGTTGAGTGAAGTCTCCTCTCCTCTCTCATTCCTTGAACCTAGATATCATGTGAAAATAGAAAGGGAAAAGGGTAAAATGATCCAATTTTTTTTATAAAGGTTAGTTTTGGTATTACAAAAATGTTTAAACTGCACTTGATATCACGTGATGGTTTTGACCGATGGTGAATTAATGCTGGGTACTGGATTGTCATAAATTAAAAGTTAGGGTACTAGATTGTCGCATTTTAAAGTTCGGGTACTAAATTGACACTTGGCCTAAAGTACTGGGTACCTATCAGGGATTTTCCCTTATTTTTACTAAAAACCAAAGAATGAGTGTCAATAAGTGAACTACCGAGAATGTGCCCAGCCTAGAAACTGTCAGCCTATCCTATTGGGCCCCAACAGCCAAAGTTAACCCCATTATGGGAGGACAGCGGTTCGGTCTAATTCTAATTCCGTCACAAAGAAAAAATTCATTGATTTGGTCAAAGAACTATCCACCCATACGGTTGAACCGCTGAATCGTTCAAACTGCAAATGGTGGCGGTTCAGACGATTGGGCTTAAATTTTCTTTTGGTGGACGTCGACCGGGGGGGTATGGCAACGTCCAACTTTATATGACACATTCTGAATTTGCCAAAACCCTAGAGACTGCAGAGTCGGGAGAGAACAAAGAGGGGGAACGGCGGCAGTAGAGAAATCAAGGGGGGAATTTCGATTCAATCTTGGGTTGATTCTCGATGGAGATCTGGAACCAGATCTAGTACAGATGCTGATTTTTGCCGATGCCAATGGAATTCCCGGAGAAGAGATGTTTTCAAGAAGCTAGAGGCAGTCAAGGGTTTCTGTTGCAGAGTTGACGAAGGTGGCATCTGGGCGAGCATCAGTGATCAAACTAGCAAGTTGGGGCGTTTCATCTTTGGATTCACAGGTAATTTGCTTTTTAGTTATGTTTTACAAGAACGCAACTTTTGGTGATATTTTTGGGCCTTTTGTTCTTAAATTTTAATACGATGCAAGTTTGATCAATGGAACTAATTTTCCCAATTCCATATTTCTAATATGACCTTCTAATTTGCTAGCTCATTCCTCTTTCTGTTAAGTTTTTTCTTGTAAATTTCACAAAATTTTTTGATGGTTGGTGAATCCTTGCTCCACCCATCCACTTTCCTGTCATTTCATTGTAATACCATGTACCTCCATATTCTGAACTGCTCTGTCTCACTTGCATGTTGTATGAAGTAGGAACCATGAAGGACAACAAATTTCGGAATCATGGAATGGATAAAAAAGTACTGAAATAGTACTGTTTTCTGTTCCTTACATTTTTATGCCATGCTTGTTGGAACTATGTGTAATCGAAAATAGTGTATTATAGTGTTGTTGCTACTCTGTTCTTTTACAGGAATGAAGTCTGGCTGAATTTGATGGCTAGCTTTTTTAATAATCATTTTTATTGAATGATATTCTCATAGTTTAATTTTTAAATTATTTGTTTATCCTATCATAGTCCGACTTTAACCTGGACAGTTGACTGGCTAATCCACCACCCGGAATTGCTTATAAGTTACAAACAGAGCCTACATTACCATCACAATATCATCTGACAGGCTTTGAAAAATTGAGTTTCATTTCCAACCTGAAAATCTGAACTCTCTCTTCCCCCAAACTTTTCTTTAGTTGGAGAGGTAAACTCTGTGTAAATTCTTCTGGGGCAATGCTTAGGGTTGTTACTCTGTATGTATGCATTCATGTTCAAAAGCGAAGAATCCACATGGAAAAAGCTGGGTGATTTGGTTGAAGGTTATCCACCGGACATCATAAATAGATTATTTAATGAATTATACAAAAACTCTCTTCTGTTACACGTTTCTTTTCCCTGCTTCCCTGTTTGATTTTCTTTCTTTACTTGATTTGATTCCTTGAGGGTGGGGCTTGGCACAATGGTTGGCTTGCTCCAGTTCAACTCGGGTGACCAGGGGTCAAATCTTGGAAACAGCCTCTCTGTCTATCTGCAGGGGTTGGCTGTGTGAATCTGTACCGCCCCTGACCCCACATTGGCTGGAATCTTGTGCACTGACTGGACTGCCCTTTTTACTTGATTTTTCTCTTCCATACATAACCATATTCTCAGGCTCATTTGCTTGGTCATTTCCTTTTTTATTTTTGAAGAAGGTAAAGTAAAATTTAAAAGCAATAAAGTACAACAAGTTCCTTGGGGTAGAATAGGGAAAACAAAACCCCCATGCCAAAGGAGCAGATCCCACATTCCCACATTATTTTATAGCATGAACACATTCTGATTGGAAAAACATTTTGAGGCTGAGACCCAAGATCCCAACTTGCTCATAGCATTCACCTTACTACTTTTTTCCATTGAACACTCTCCTGTTTCTCTTGGACCATATTGATCCAATAATAGCTGCAGGAATGGCTTACCACAAGCATTTGCCTCTGCTCAACCTAGGAATGTACCAGCTTAGTAATAGATCCTAGACAGAACCAGGCATTACCTGATTACAAAGTGTTTGCTTGGTCAATTCTCATGTTTTGGCTCTGCTTGTGGAATGTTATCTCTCTTAATCTCCATTCCATTAATCCTTGATCGTTAAGATCTCCCTTTACTACATGGCCTGTCTAGAAACATAATATTGGAATCATATTTTCTTATGAACATGTTGTTTCTTGATTGCCAACACTCTGCTACATATAACATAGCTGGCCTTACAACTGTTTTATAGAAATTTCCTTTTAACCTAAGTGGAGTTCACCTATCACATAAAACTCTAGATGCACCCCTCTATTTTGCCCATCACTCTAATTCTATGGATGACATCCTCCTCAATCTCTCTCTTTTTATGAAGTATCAAACCAAGGTACTGAAAAAGCAACCAAGATGCAGGTTACTATATTGACTAAAGACTCACAATAAGAGAAATTCTGGGTGTAGAGACTAGGGTACCACTAGGTTAAGAACCAGGAAATGGGATACCTTGTTGAACTCTTGCCAATCCAAATTCTAGTAAATTATTGGGTTGTGAGAAATCTTCATCTTTTAGGTGATGTTTGGCATCAATGGTGATTTCTTGAAAATCACTGCCATGTTGAAGCCATGTCAGCATTAGAGAAATTGGCGTTGAAATTTCTGTTTGGTTGGCTGATTTTGATGATTTTCAGAAAATCTGCCAAAAAATGGATTCTTGAAATCAGCCCTTTTCAGGATCACCTTTTTTGGTGATTTCCTGATTTATAGCTGATTCCAAATTTTTTTTTTTTTTTTTGAGGATGACATGTAACCCAACATGACATTGAACAATAACTCTAATGCAAAAATAATCGACCCTTGAGAATCAGTACCAAACAGATTCAAAGCCGATTTCTCAAAAATTGGCTTACATGGCAGAAAAGATATCAAATAACAAAATTTACCGATTAAAAAAAAACACTGATTTCAAAAACCATCGATTTTTGAAAAATCAATAAGGAAGAATCATTGATGCCAAACATCACCTTAATATCTAATTGAAGTATATGTTTCTGCTAGGTGTGCATGTATTTTGGGACATGGCCTGCTTTCTGCTAATTTGGTTGTTTTTCATTGTTAAAACATGAGGAAAAATAGAAAATTAATGCAAAAACAAAAGAAAATCTTATCTCAGGGCATTGTATTTTTTTAGGTACACAGAGATTGGTGCAATTTCTGTAGTTTCATGAGACTAGTGTATAGCTATTGACATGGCAAGCTATTCAGGAAAAGGGGGCCCTCCAAATGGGTCTGTCTATGTTTGTAACCTGCCCCATGGAACTGATGAAAATATGCTAGCTGAGTATTTTGGCACCATTGGGTTGCTAAAGGTAGGGAGTCTGATCAGGTATTTTTTTAATTGGCACTTGGTCATTGTTTTTCTAGTCCTTAATATGGATACTTTTACATATAAATATACTGTCTCTTCTGATTATTTTCCTTTTTAATTTCATGCTTCCTAGAAAGACAAAAGGACTGGTCGGCCAAAAATTTGGTTATACCGTGATAAGGTTACTAATGAGCCAAAGGGGGATGCAACCGTTACATATGAAGATCCACATGCAGCATTGGCTGCTGTAGAATGGTTTAACAACAGGGATTTCCATGGTAGTACTATAGGAGTATTCATAGCAGAGTCGAAGTCCAAAGATGATCATACGTATAACTCGGGGAATCAAATGAATCATGGGGAAGATCCAAATTTGACTGGTGATTTTGGTGGGCAAGGAGAAGATGCTAGGGATGTGAATGGGGGTGGAGGAAGAGGTAGAGGTCGAGGTGATGCTTCAGGGAAAGCATGGCAACAAGAAGGAGACTGGCTGTGCCCGAATACAAGGTCTGTGATGTGACATTGGTGAGCAGCTCTTTCTTGCACTTTATATTTTTCCACTTTCATCCTTTTTTGTTAGGATAAACATGTACAAGGCTTTCTCATGCTTTGTTTTGGTAGCAGTTGCTCCAATGTAAACTTTGCTTTTCGTGGGGTTTGTAACCGTTGTGGAAGTGCTCGACCTGCTGGTTCTTCTGGGGGTGGTGCAGGCGCTGGTGGTCGAGGGAAAGGTCGTGGTAACACTGACTCTAGTGGTCGTGGTCGTACAGTTGGTGGTCCTACAGGGCTTTTTGGTCCCAATGATTGGCCTTGTCCGATGTAAGACTATATTGTTTTGTTTAAGTTTCTTAGCTTCACATCTTTCATTGGGGATTTTTGGAAGATTTAGAAGTTCGGTTCATGCTTAGATAATAGGGAAAAATGGTCCATGTGCGTTATTACCATGCCAAGATGAGAATCATTCTATCATGTGTTTGAAATATGTCAGACCTTGTTGTAATTTGACTTCATTAACATATTCTTGTTAACACCTGCACTTTCATGATAAATTACAATGTAGTTAATGAGAAAACACTGTATGTATCTTTTGAGAGGGGGGTTGCTTTTAGGACTTGGCTATTCCAAGGACTTTTATACCTATGCTAAGGGCTATTTTGTTCATCATACAGATGGGGACCTGCTCATGTGCTTAGGGCACCATTGGATTCCTCTCCCCCACCCCACTATCTCATAAAGGGCTATTTCTTTTTGAAGAAGTGATATTAATTACTATACTAATTCAGTTGAATTTTTAAATTGAAGTCTTGTTAGCTTTGGGTTTGTTTTAGTAGGTCTTTGTATTTTTAAATTGAAGTCTTGTATTTTTACTATTTAGTATCCACAACTATCAAAAGTATTATAAATGAGAAATGCTATGAAACCCCCTGCAAACCAGAAGTGAATGAAATGCAGGATGTGGGGTGGGGAATAATACACAGTCGATTGATGGGAAACCATAAATATCACATGTTATCATACTAATTACCGAAAATACAATTTCATGGTAGTGGCAAAAAACAATTTCATAATTGCAGTAGAGGACTTGGAGCCAATGTTCTGAAAATTGCAAGCATATCATAAATCATTTGGAAAATAACTTTACCCCATTTTGAGTTGTAGAAATTTGTCAAAAATTAAAAACATAAATAAATTCTAAAAACTGAAATACATATTGGGAAATAACTTTACCCCATTTTATCCATTTATCATAAATGTACATTGACAGGATTTACCACTTGTACATTAGAATGTAAGATGATATAATTAAGTTTTTCTTGAAAGTCAGTTAACTCACATACAATGGCTCTTTAACCTTGTATAATAGAAAATAAACTCAATAAGGTTTCTAAATAGGTCTTCAATAACTTAAATAATTGTTAATAGAGTATGGATTTTTAAAACAAATGACGCTTGGGAAATATTAAAAAAACAAAGGAATGACAAGATATAGAGCTGTCTACTTGGTGAAAAGTGAAAACTACTCTTATTAAAGTATAAAGATGCTTCTAACCTCTTTGGTTGGTAAGTCCTTGAGGAGGAAGTTTTCTTGCCTTGCTTTCATCACTTTTTGCTTCAACATTTGATACTCCTAAGTTGGTACAGTAGCTTTTCCTAATATGTAGGTAAAGATGAATTTAGGGCTTTGTTGAGTTAGGAGTTCTAATATTGCAGTTGTCTATTTTTTGACGAATAATAATTCCTTTTATTACTAATTATAAAATGTATGAATTACATACACTTTAGATAACCTAGCTGCTCCTTGTTTGGCTAATGCATCAGCCATGCAGTTAGTCGACCTTTGCATCTATTGGGTTTTCACTATAATGTTCTAATTCAGTTACTTGAACTTCTTAAGTTCATTTCTATATGATGACATAGTTCTTTCATTATTTTGCAACCAACCAATTACCACCTTTGAGTCACCCCCTATGTTTAAGTGACTCGATTTCATGTCATTTTCTCGTTGAACTCCCTAAATTACAGCCATAAGTTCTGCCCTTATAGAATTTCCCACTCCAATTGGATCGGAGAATATTGCAACTACATGACCTTCATCTCTAAAGATGTCTAACCTTGGAGGCCCTTGATTCCCAAGACTACTACCATTGAAGTTAAGCTTTATCAAGCCCCTCTCTGGTGGTGTCCAATCCCCTATGAATCTAATATTTTTTAATGAGGTTCCAACCACCTTCTCCCATTTTCTAATAGATTCATATGTTGAGAATGGTGAAAATGCATCCAACAATTTAATCCAAAGTGCTACCCTAGTTGTGATACACTTAATTATTGCCTCCTTACTTCTCTCCTGCTTAAAAATTCTTGCAGTTCTCTCCTCAAAATAGCCAAATAATTCTTGTTTTAGTGCACCTCTGCATAATTCTCCTCTTCTATGGCTAAATGGACATTTAAGAAGAGAATAAGCTAGCCATACTTGATGGAATGCTTCACCTGCATTCGAATAAAAGGAAAATTCATTCCCAAATACAAGTACAAATGGTTATGTATCTTACTTTCACCTCAAGGATTTTGCCTCCTTGATTCGCATATCTAATATTCTAATTACTAAATCAATTTTTAATTAAAAAACTCAAACAATATCCATTTCCTGTTACCCAAAAATTCTGAAATTGTTTTAGGATTTACTTCATTCTCCAGAGATTATTTTCTTGCTTCCGTATCTGCATAAAAGAGCCATGTGTTCATGTATGGAGTGTTCTGGACTTTTTATGTTTTTTTAGGTACTAGCAAATGTGTATGTGCTTTGCATGTGGCAATTTTAAATGATGATGCTGATCTTTTCAACTTTTATTATTTTCTACATAGGGTCGACACATTTGATCCAACAGGTTTAACTATTGACCTACCTCCAATGATCAAACAGGAAGCCGGTTCCATTTTTGGGTCAATTTTAATTTTGTATTTTATTTCCATAATCAATAAAACAAATATTCTCCATCGTACTTATTTTTCTTTAATATGACTAACATAAAACAGTAAGATGTCCCCAATTTTTTTTTTCTAAAAAAATTATTTACATTTTGTAATTTTTGTTTTGTCTTTTTTTTTTATATTTTATTACTAATTATGACATCAAGGGTTGACTCATTTGATCTGAAAGGATGAATTGTTGACTTACCCCAAACAAGAAAACAATTTCTCTTTTGGGTTAGTTTTAAATTTTGTATTTCATTTTCATTAGCAATAATCCAAGTCTTATTTATCATATTATCTTTCTTTAATATCATTAACATAAAGATAGACACAATTACCTAAAAAAACATAAAGATAGACACCTTTGCTGACATGGCATAGTTGATAGAAGATTCCAGAAGCCCTTCACTTAAGAAAAGTGGAGAAAAATATAAATAGCATTCATTCTCTTGCTGGGGGGGAGGGCAATGACTCTCTCCTCCCTCTCCTTCTCCCACCTTCTCTTTGGGGAAAATCACTGGAACTATGTCCAACTTCATCTCTTTCTGAATGGTACGTTGCACAATGCCATTAGGGCTCCATTCACTTTCTTTCCTCCCCAACCAAATTCGACCATCTTTCCTTGGACTATTAGAGAACCTCCACTACTGCTGCTCCATGTTGAAATGCCATGTATTCACCAAAAGTCAAAGCAATATTCATAAGCCAATTATACCATTCAATTGAGACATTTTATCAATCTTTTATCAAATGGCTCATAGGATATATATTTTTTAAATTTATGTAGTCTAAGTGATCTTAATTTATATTTTAAAGTATAAGAATTCCTGGAAAATAAAAAGACATTGAAGCATAGAATAGAAATAGATGCAGTAAATACGAGAGTTCCAAATTTATTAATAATTGTTCTGTGCATTATTTTTTTTATAGAATGAGTTGGCCAATTAAAACATGTTTTAAAGCACCCTTCTAGCATCATTAGATGCATACATGTGCACCTTGGCATGGCCCTATTGGCGTGAGGTAGTGTCCTTTCTAAATTACTTGAGGTATTGCAATTTGGTGATCCCCCAAAAAACTAGTCGTCTAGTTGTCACCTAGACAAATATGTCTGAAACCTGATTCTTTTTCTATTGAATTTCCTATTTGAATGTTTTTATTTTTATGCCTTGGAACTATAAAACCATGTGCTGTTTTAAATCATGCCACATTAAAACCATAGTGAAATTGCATTCAGGATGAGAAATGTTATTAAAACCACTTCACTAGATAAGTTTTTTGAATTGGAAAGATTATGTTTTTATGTTTCCTGATCTAGTATATATCAGTGGAATTCTTCTTGGTGAATGTTTTAATTTCATACTAGTTTTTTGACACCCTCAAAGACTCAAAAGGTAGGCCATTGTATTTGAAGCTTTGCTATCCTTTCTGAAGGTCTAGTTTTCTCACTTGTTGAAATTAGAGCATTATTAATCAGGATTATTGTGCGAGGATACTTTTGGGATAATCTAATAGTTTAATTTCTGGTGTGATGAATACTTCTGTATTTACTTCCATTTCTTATTTTTGTTTCAGGTGTGGCAATATCAATTGGGCAAAACGCACAAAATGCAACATCTGTAATACCAATAAGCCTGGCCACAATGAAGGGGGTGTAAGGTGATAAGCTGTTTTTGCTAACTTTGATTTATCTAAAACTGGAATTTCAATTTCTGGGAGTAGCCTATTGAATATGTGTTGTGTATGCTTATTGTTTTTAATGTTTTAAAGCCTTTAAATACTAGTAACTAGTGTAGTATTTGGTTCTATTTCGAAATCCTTCATGGGGCCCAAGTTGGTGTGTGTGGCATATGAAACGTTTTATGAATGAAAATAGGTATATCAACCATGAACGGGTATTAAGGTGAGATACTGCCCTTACTCTAGGGTTTCTGGCTGATGTGTTTATTTGACATCCAATTTGCAGGTGGTAATCTGGGTGATGGGTGTGGAGGGATACTGGCAGATAGTGGCATCCAACTATAGAAGCTAATATCTTGCCACTAGAGTGAATATTTAATTCATTTGGATTATGATATCTGTAAATACCTTAACATGATGTCCTAGCCAGATGAAGAGTGGATACTGGGTAGAGCAGAAATATGTTGGGGGTTAGTGGTTCCGTAGAGACTATCACATTATATATAGTTCTTGTTCAAGTATCAAGATGATTTTAGTGGAAGACTAAAGTTTGGCCTATTAGTTGTGCTTGCCATTATTTGAATATGAATACATTGCTTTGCCACTGGTTAAAAAGGGAGGAAACAGAATTTCTGATAAAAAAGCTGTATCTTCTATACATCATTTGATCCCAGCTGATATTTCTCCTGCAACTCTATGTTTATGATAAACAATGGTTTTTCCCCTTAATGCCCTTTTCCAGCCAACTATGTTGAGCCAATAGATGTCTTTTTCTTACATCAGCCTTTTTTTGTTTTTTTATGGGGATATTTGAACTCCAGTTACTGCGTTTGTATTCTCTTGAGTTTTTGCATATTTTTCATTCTTAAGTAATATTTTCCTCTAAATATTAAGAACATTTTGTGTTCTTTGAAAGAGGAGTTAAATCTTCTAAGTTCTAACCAGTTGATATTTCTCCTGCAACTCTATGTATATGATAAACAATAGTTTTTCCCCTTAATGCCCTTTTCCTGCCAACTATGTTGAGCCAATAGATGTCTTTTTCCTGGGGGAGAAGCTGAACTAGGAGATTACATGGAGTTCGAGGAGATAACAACCTGGAGAAGACTTCAAAGAGCTGAGGCAAAAACAATCCTATTTGAGAGACGTAAAGTGAAAGGGAAGATCACACTGAAGATCAGGGAGTTGCGGAAGGCCATGGTTATGCTGGTTGGGACTGCTGTGGTTGAATGGTTCAGAAATTTCGTGGAAAAGGCACTTCAAACAGACACAGAAGCAGAATGGAAAAGTTCCAAAGGAGGTGATCGAAGGTACTTTGCTGAAAGAAGATGGAACAAAAGGGAAGGTTCTTGGCGTTGGTTGAATACTTTGGAAGAGGGAAGAAACAGCTGGTATGTATTCCCAAAGGAAAAAATGGATCAAGTTGGAGTGAGACTAAAAATTTGTTACTTTCTTGGAAGAAACAAAGAAAAAGATGGGGGGTGAAGCAGGGGTGTGGAGAAACAAGTGAACCTTACCCTGAAAAGGAAAAACAAACTGAAAGTCATCTCTTGGTGAATGGTCTTGGTATTGATAGAGTGGCTTACAAATTACAATACATAAAAGGTAGTTTGGGAAAAGAAATTGGTGGTTGAAGTTATAAAGAAACCAGAAAACTGAAGGCTTTATAGCAGAAGACTTGGTTAGAAATTTGAAGGTAAAAGGACCAATACTGTTTACACCTTTTGAAGATCGTAAAGCTCTTTTAGATTTGTTAGGAGAAGAGCTAGATATCAGTGCCTTCAGTCTAATATTGAAGACAGGGGCGGCTACAGTGATGAGATGGTCCCCTAGCTCCAACTCTAAAGATTTTTCAGTGGAGGATGGTGTAACCATTCGGATTGTTGGGCTCCCTTTCCACCAATGGAAGTGGGAGATCTTCCAGTCGATTGCCTCTTTGTGCAAGGCAAAACTTGAAAGTGCTTTTTGCTTAAGATCTGCGTTCAGTGGCTTTGAGAATGAACAGAGTGAAACCTGAAGAAATCCCAAGAAAGGTTCAGGTGCTAGCTGATGATGTTTTCTACTCAGCATGGATCTTGACCTCCATTGTAGCAGCTCTGTGGAGGGATTCCAGGAGAGTGGAAGACGAAGAGCTTGAAGATGAATACCTATGTGGGTCGCAGAGGTTGGCTGAATTCAAACTAGCTGAAATTTACTCAGAAATGGAAATTTTGGGGTTGCAGAACGCAAAAGGAAGGTACTATGAAAGTGGAAAAGTTGAGGCATGCACACAAAGATAAACCATTCGACTGTTGCATGACTTACACAGAGGTTCTGATAAGGGGAGAAAATGCAAAGATGAATGTAAAGGCTCTCATGTTAGTGTGGCTGACACATGTACTGCAACTAAACAAAAAAAGGTGTTTCAGCAAATGAGCTTTCAAATGGAATGGACCAGTGCCCAACTTAGAGGTAAGATCTACTGCAACTAACTTTCGTCCTAAGGTGTGTTCGATTAATGAAGGAGCTGGGCTTTTGAAGAATTCAGAGCAAGTTAAATCTGGGCCTAAACTGAAACAAGGTGTTTCAGTAAATGGGCTTTCAAATGGACCAGGGCCCAACTTTGAGCTAAGGTACATTCTCCTTTAACTGACCATGTGATGAGAGAGGCAATGAAAATAGGAGATGATAAAACATGTCTATCATTGTCCCAAGCTCAGCCCTGTTCAAATGTTCCCACTGTTAATGCTGCGGAAAAGCTGTCTTGGAGGCTGGGGCTGGTTACCTACTCCACCAGCCCTGAACGACCAAATCCGAGCTATAGCTGAAGCAAAGAGGAAGAGGATGAGTTTGATTCAGATTGGGTAAATTGTGAAGGGGAAAAGACTGATGAGGAAATTTCTAGAGGTTCCAGTATAGGCAGCATCAAAAGTAGGTGTGGCAAATTTTTAATGGAGGAAATGGAAATGGGAACACGACTTCTGTTCGAACCTTCTTCACCGGCCCCCATTGGACTTCCTTTGGACTCTCAGAAGAGCTATGGATCAATAGTTCCTCACCTGGGCGAGGATAATACCTCGGTTAAAGATGGAACAGATCTTATACTTGTCCAGAGACAAAGCCAAGTTGTTAATAGAGTGTCTCCCTCCTCTCTGCATTCAGCAAGCAAATCTACAAATCTATCCCCCTCCCTGGCTTGTGCTTTAAAGGTTGGTTTGGAGGAGAACCCCCAATTTAAAAGCCCTTTAGTCTAGTCTTCTGCGGAACTTAGTGCAGACCCTTCGAAGCCTGGTATGTTGTGCCAATCCTCTTTGGTTTCTTCTTGTGACTCGACTAATCCTCCTCTTTCTCCTGTTGTATTGTCTGTCCAGCCTGCAGGTGTTTCCAGGTTCTGCCCAACAGCTACCATTCCTAGTGACTCGGTGGGAGTAACAGAAGAGATAGGGGATGGTGAGGCTGTAGAAGGGTCTAAGGAGGAAGGGGAGCAAATCTGGGAATTAATAGTGATCCTTTTCGAGCAGTCGGTAGAGGTGGAAATTCATTCTAGGTTGGGATTAGAAGAGGGGGCTGAACTTATTGGGGCTACGTCTAAGGAAAAGGAGAGGGAGATTAATAAGAGTGCTGCTGGAACTAAAAAGGCAATTAAAAAAATTATCAAGGATCAGAAAAAAGGACAAGAAGTAACTCAGATAAAATCTCCATACAAGGGGGAGAGAGAATTCTAAAAGAAGAAAAAAAGACGAGTTAAGTCGAAAGACTTAGGTGTGGTGTGGATTATGAAAGAGGAGGCATAGGAAGGAAGGAGAGGAAGTAGTGTTAAATTAAGCTGAGTCTTTGGGCCTTTTTGCTTATTTTTCCATGAAGATAATTAGTTGGAATGTGAGGGGATTGGGGAGTTCAAGAAAAAGAAGTGTAGGGAAGTCCTTTGGAAAGAGAAATTGGCCATCGTCTTAATTCAAGAGTCAAAGCTGACAGAGGTGGATAGAAGATGGGTGGGGAGTGTTTGGTCAGCTAGAGGGTTAAGTTGGGCGTTTACACAATCATGGGGAGCATCAGGAGGCATCATTACAATATGGAAGAATGAAGAGATGGACTGTATTGAAGAACTAATTGGCAATTTTACAGTAACAATCAAATTGAGAAGGAAAGAGGATGGTTTTGAGTGGGCCTTAACCAACGTCTATGGACCTAACTTGTATAGGGAGAGGGATGATTTTTTGGAGGAGCTTGCAGCCATTAGGTGTCTTTGGAATGGCTCGTGGTGTTTGGGAGGTGATTTTAATGTCATAAGATTCCTAAATGATACTACCAATCCAAACCATAGGGTCACCTCTAGCATGAGAAAGTTCAACCTATTTGTGGACTCATATGAACTGAGAGAGCTACCCATGTTGCAAGCAAGCTTCACTTGGTCCAATGTCCAAGAAAAACCCCTATGTTGTAAATTAGATTCTTATTCTCTTTAGATTTTGAATTTACGTGGAGGGGATTGGTAGTAAGGGCTCTCCCTAGACCTACCTTAGATCATTGTCCAGTTAGGTTATCCCAAGAAGACTTGGGAGGGAGGCCATGTCCTTTCCAGTTTGAGAACACGTGGTTGCTTCATCCTGATTTTATAAAAAAGGTTCAACTGTGGTGGGAAGAAGACCAAGTGGAATTCATGTAGAAAGGGTACAAGTTTTATAAAAAGCTACATGCCCTGAAAGCTAGAATCGAAGCCTGGAATAAGGAGGAAATTGGAAGTGTGGAAGAAAGAAGAGAGTGGATTGCCAATAGGTTTCAAGAAATTGATGGAGGTGAGACAGAGAGGAGATTGATAGTAGGATAGAGGGAAGAGTATTGAAAGCTGAAACAAGAGTTGCAGGAAATCATAAGAGGAGATAAGTTGGAGACAACAATCTAGGTGTAAGTGACTGAAGGAGGGAGACAGGAATACCAAATTTTTTCATACCTTAGCAAATGGAAGGAAGAGGAGGAATTTTGTGGGGAGGCTGGAATGG